AGGTCTAGCTTCTCCTTGAAAATATTCACTGATGGTGCTGATACCACTTGTTCGGGTAATGCATTCCAGTCATTGACCACAAGATGGGAAAGACGAGACCCTACCTTTGGCTTATTAGATCGCGGTTTATGAACCTTTCTACTATGACCTTAGGGATTATCAGTGCTGGAGGGAGCAAAAAGGTAAGACATGTTAACACCCAAATCACAATTAAAGATACGAAATACCAGTATAAGGTTACCTCGCGTCCTACGACAAGACAGACTGAAAAGGTTTAGACATTTCAAACGCTCATCGTAGAGGAGTTTAGAAAGACCCTTCACTAATTTTGTCCTCACACGCTGGACACGCTCAAGTGTGTTGGTATCCTTTATCAAACATGGGTTAGCATCTTGGATACAGTACTCTATGTGTGGATTTACATAGGTGGGATATAAAATTAGAAACATCTCGTCAAAGCTTTGAAATGTTCGGCGAAGTGACCATAACGCTTCCTAGACCGTTTGAGTTCGGGCAAGACAATGGGTTTGTTGGCTCGTGTAAGTCCTTTGAGATTGGTCAATCAGTCAATGTATCTTCTTCTTGAATGTGTCAACTACTGTAGCTTTACCCATGTGTTGAAAAAACGAGTTACATCCGCTGATTTGTTTGTCTGTCGGAGAATAATTTTTTCGGTTTGGATGTCATCGCGAATTCATTACTTTCGGAAGCGAGAAGCATAATATGTGCAAATTTATCGTTAGGATATTTAATTTTTGTGCTTATCTCTTTATGGGATTAATAGTAGTTTCTAGGCCATGTAAAAGGCTCGTCCTCCTCTAAATACTTTAATTCGAAATCTACTTTCATTATGGTTTGAGTTCAAATGTATTTTTCCTCAACAATCTCACTTGGGGCCTCTGCAAGCCGTGAAGATCTGATTATTTCATATCTAAAATCCGCGGAAAAGTGTATTCTGAAGGTGACAATTACTGTTATGTACGGAGAATAAATTATCATGAGAAAACTTAAAAACTTCGGAGAATCAGAACCTGTACTTAAGTCCCACCCTGTTTTCGCCTATCATTTTATAAAATCATTTGTCGAAATACAAAGATATGATGCCACATAGACGGATAGAAATGTGATTTTGAAGGTCTTTTATTTTATCATATTTCGTGGCCAGAACATTTATCGAACAGTTTTGTGGATTGAATGACTATATTTGAATAAGCGTTAACCGTCATATGCATCAGTGCATACACTGCAATGAATATATAAACTTATTATTCAGTATTTTAGACTCCATGAAACTTGATGTCATTCCTATCGAAGGCAGATGGGTAAAGATGCGCATCTGTAGATCATCTTTCCTGTAAGAACTGGGTGATTTTGCCTAAAAGGCGATTTTTTTACCGTAGACTCAGTTCATCATCTAGGACCGCGGTACTACGCCTGCTCATGTGAAGCCAGGAATATAGATCATTCGATTGATGCTTTATTTAGAAGAATTCAAAAAACTTCCACTGTGTGACTGAAAAGAGGCATAAATGGACCAGTAAGAAGCTTAACAGTCAAACACCTTGTGAACACAGGTCATTCAATAAAGACGGACCCTGAACTCAACGTCATATCGTCTCCATGTGGCAAGTTCGACTGCAGGATTGGTCATGAGCGCAACACTGGCTGTCCCGATGAAGAAATCTAGGTCGTCGAAGCCTAAGACGTCAGCCAGTCTAACGGTTAATCAAAAGGTTCTTGGACACTTCTAAAAGAGCATTGCTTAAAGCCGAAGGGGAAGGAGAAATAGAAGATATAATTCAACGATTTTTACTAAGCTACCGCGCAACTCCCAACCCAGCAACAAATAACCGAGAAGGTCCAGCAGAAGCAATTTTTGGAATAAAGATTAGAATACTTATGGAACAAATGAGGGAAAACCTAAGACCAGTCTCCGCAAGAATAAACGAATGGGATGGCAATTCAACAAAAGACATGGTACCTTACCCAGAATGTTTAGTATGAGACGAGCGGTAATAGCAAGAGATTTTCAGGGAGTAAAGCCAACCTGGAAGTTTGGAATCATAGTCCGAAGAGAAGGGAAAGTTATTTATGAAGTAGAAGTAGGACAAAAGATGTGGGTACGACATGCAAACCAGATACAGCCGAGCAGACAGGGGCGGGAGATAGGAAGTGATAGAAAGCATGATATACCATTAAACATATAACCCGGGTCGGATAATGAAACTAGAAAGGACCCGAATAACAAGAAGTCGTGTACAACACTCTTAAGGAGGCCGCATCGCATCAGGCGGAATCCTAATCGTATAAAAATAAATCCTAAGGATCATTATTATCCATGATGCTTCAAAAAAGGGGAGGTGTTATATCCTAGTGAAGAAGTAAGCACGGATAACTTCCGGGACCTATAAATGGACTATTATTTTGTATATATTCCTATTGTATAACTATTCAGTAACTAGATTATGTATATCTATATTCACCTTATTATAAGCTTCGCCTTGACCCATTGGTCATTATTATACGATTTACTGTTCCTAAATTGTACTCAGTTTATTGATTACTGTTGCCCATGTTCACAGCCACATATGGTCTGATCTCGTACAAATATTATTTTCTATTTTATGACATGATGTGGTCTATCTGTCTGTCTATCTGGTATATAAACAGAGTATGATTGAAATAAACGATTCGTATAGGAGAAGCTGAAATTGGTGTTCTGGACTCAAGTGGAAGGGCTAGGCGGACAAAGGACCAATAATGACACTAGGTTACTCATACTGATGGAACATCATTGATTTGTCATAGTGTTAAGTTCGGAGAAGTCGTATTTCTATTGGTGAATAATTCACGTGAATAAAAGCCGGACATAAAAATCAATAACGAATCAGCATACATCCTACGTCTATTTTTTTATAGTTGAAAGCATGAGTCAATTGAAGCCAGACCACCATCGAAAACCTGGAAGCACTGCTTGACGGTCGTTTCGTCCTATTATGGGACTCCTCAGCAGTGCGCATCCACGATCCCGCACTCGCGAGATTCGAACCCAGGACCTACCAGTCTCGAGCCAGAGCACTTAACCGATAGACCACTTAGCTGGCATACGACAGTGTTAACGTCTATTTTCAACTGATCCACGAAGTTGAGCAGCTATTCACCAATTGTCACCAGTGAGTTCCTATCTCACGATGGCCATCCAATGCTTCCAGGTTTTCGATGGTGGTCTGGCTTCAATTGACTCATGCTTTCAACTATGAAATATACTAAATCACCACAAAACCCCTTCTGATAATTAATATAATCATATGCTCACTAGTAAGTTCGAGAAGTACATCCAGGAGCTCTAGTGAGAAGCAGTGACCGGTGGAGTGCAAACCACGTCTGTCGTGAGATAGAAACTCACTGGTGACAATTGGTGAATAGCTGATCAACTTCGTGGATCAGTTGAAAATAGACGTTATCACCGTCGGATGCCAGCTAAGTGGTCTATCGGTTAAGTGCTCTGGCTCGAGACTGGTAGGTCCTGGGTTCGAATCTCGCGAGTGCGGGATCGTGGATGCGCACTGCTGAGGAGTCCCATAATAGGACGAAACGACCGTCAAGCAGTGCTTCCAGGTTTTCGATGGTGGTCTGGCTTCAATTGACTCATGCTTTCAACTATGAAACATACTAAATCTCCACAAATTCCCTTCTGATATTTTTTCATGTAATAACACAAAGTAAATAAAAAGAACTGGCAAAGGCAGTTATATCGCATCTTCTAGCACTGCCGAAGCACTAGTTAAATTTCTGGGAATACTAGGATCGTGTGCCCGAAAAGAATTGATGAAACCCCTTCTTCCTGCATGGTCGTAATGTCTCGGAATTTCTATTCTTTTTCCTTATTCTTCATGCCTTAATTACTTTAGGCTCAACTTCTTCCCCTTCTATCTTCTCTACAGACCTGTTTCTTGCTGGTTTATTTCCGTTACTATGATCCCCCTGATTAGATTTCATTTGAATTTCAACATTTCATTTCATCCTGCTGAGCCGTCGGTTCCCGTTTGTAATTTCACTACTTATCTTTATGATGCATATTTAAATTCTTAACAATAAAACCGTTATTAGTTTTCTTAACCAAATAATATATTTTTTATATCTTTATTTTGGGTGATGATTTGAAGTATTCGAATCATAGTACAAATCAGGAATCCCAGAAATAACGCAATTTAATCAAAAAGTACTAGATGAACACAAGCGAATACATGTTATTTGGAATTCAAAATCAAGCAGTCATCAGGTACAAAGGAATCATTAATCCATGCAAACATAACATCCGCCACAGCTAAAATTGGAGTCTAAGTGTCTTTAATCGATCATAAGTCTACTTCTTAAGTTCACCCTGTGTCTGTCCGACAGTCTATTGGATAAAGATTCTGTAATAACAAGAATGTACGCGTTAGTAATAGAATAAGTTGTAAGATCCAAAACTAAATTCCAATAAGTCTGGATGTGGTTGAATAACTATAGTAGAAGTTTAGAGACTCGTTTCAATTGAAATCAAAACAAAGTGTTTGATGTAGTAACGGTTAAATATTGCTACCCAGTTATTCAACCGACAATTGATACCAAAATATTCAACCGAAAACACCAAAAGGTAAGTGTTATTCTATCCCTACTGGATAGATCAAGTAAAATTCCATCTGAGCAGCTGTTTTATAACACAAAGTGTTTCAATATTTGGGAAAGTGCTCTAAATTACAACCAAAGATGCACGATCCCAGTCAAAATCAAACCGCACAATCAAATAGCGAGCAGTCAATATGGCAGACGCCAGAATAATAGCAATTAAAGCAAACTAGATACAGTTCAGTAAGGAACATAGAGACTCAATAAAAAACGTTAATAAAACCAAGAAAATTAAACGTTACAGTCTTAATTAGCATCAAAAATGCTAACAACATATACAAATAAAGAAAACATAAGGAAGAAATCACAAATGTATGCATGGAGGGATTTTCACTTGCAAAATGGATCCAACATAACTAATCGAAATTGGAACAGACTCACCCAGTTTCTGGAATTGTATTTGATCAACATATCGGTTGTGTACACTCAAATCATTGATATCTAGAATTCGCACCATAAATTTACTGACATTCTTCACCACAATCTCCATGGCTGGTCGAAGGTCGTTTTCACGATATGTAACTTTTACAAACTCAAAACACTTCATATTCGAACGAAGAATTCTTCCATTTATTAGCTTTGATGGAGTCTCTACCATTGAAGAATATTTAGGGATTCAAAGCAATACTCCATGAAGTCCTTGGGCAGCACAAAATACAGCTAATGCTTTTCACTGAGTCCGTGAATAACCTTGATTTGTAACAGTAGGTTTGCGTGAAACATAGATAACTGATAATAATAATAATAATAATAATAATAATAATAATAATATATTTCTGCATTAGCAGGTACACTCCATTTTTACAGGCATGATCTACAATTTACAACATATACTGGTTCACAGTATGCATCCCAAGCAAGCTTGTTTAGTAATTATAATCTATAAAAGTTGATAGCAGTTCATTCGTTCAGATATAATGTGTTTTCATAAGAATAGTTTCCAAAGGGGCATGGCGTCCACGTTATATACCAGATCCAATCTCGACAAAAAGTGTAATAGGGTTTCGGTAGTTCTAAGTGTTTATGTAATGCAGCTTTTTAAGTTTATAGTTGTTATAAAGTAGGCTTGTGGAGCGCCTGGTTCGAGCTATGACCTTGGGAAAGCGCGTTCGTCAAGCTTGTTCCAGATGTCAGAAGTTACATAGCTTCACCCTCAGAGCAAGATTCTGAAGAGAAAAAAATAATAATGATATACCTCCCTGTTCCAAAACTGCATCAATACCTACAGGTAATACATCAGTTATAAGTACAGAACATACGCTAAGTGAGTAAGTTCGAAGGGCAGTATCGCTTTGAAGAAACGTTAGTAAACTTCGTAAGCATGACTCTTGTTTCTCACCCCATTTAAACGAATAGGGTTTCAAAATATTAAGTACACAGTTGACACGACAAGAAAAATTAGGAATAAAACGGGAATAGTATTGAAGAGCACCAACTAGTGAAGGTAGTTCTGCAAGATTATTTGGAGACGGTGCGTTTGTTAGTTAAGCTAATCACTTCATGTTACGTCCTTGAATCTGTCTACCCACTTTAATGCCGAGTATGATTTGTCTAATGTAGATTAAGACCTTGACCCCATAGGCTGACTGACTTAACCTTGAGGCTAATATGCGTGAGTTCAAAGTAGGGGTAGAGAGACGAAAACTATTCTATCCCTGATTGGCTGGCAAGCACGAGAGAGAGAGAGAGAAGACAAAGGCAACTGGAACACTAATCACTTTATTCCAACCCCGATCTAGCACTCGAATTCCCAATTCCCAATTCAGATTAGGGTGAAAAGTTACATGAATAAGTAGATGAATAGGCTGACCACAACGTACCATAATAAGGAAAATACAATTATGTCCAAAACTGGGGGATTGTAGTAGAAAATAGAGTACAAAAGGTTACGTCTAAATTACAATAGCTTTAGAACAGAAAATGCTTTGGTAGTGAATTATACATCAAAAGAAAGCTCATGATCTGTAGAATAGGCTAGGGGCGAAAGTAAATGTTACAGTTTTACAAGCTTTGAACTAAATGAATTAACGTCCCCCAAAATAGCTTCCGTAATTTGTTAAGGCTTCTAGTTTCGCGGTTCACATCACTTCATATCTGGTCTAAAACTATTACCATCAACTAGGTATCCAAGGCATTCGAAACTAGATACACAAAATGAACACGTATATGGATTCACTGCAATATTCTTCTCAATCAAACGACATAATAAGGCCACAAGTCTCTGGTCATGAAATACCTTATCAGTACCATGAACAACGAGATCCTCTTGATAAATTTCAACACCTTCAAGATTTCAAGTACTTGAATGAAATAGCGGACTCTATAATACCTGCGTCTACAATGAAGTCACGAAATGAACCAAGGGATGTATATAAACGTTTTTGAATAGAATCATTACCTTTCGAAATGGGGGATAAAGATAAATTATCCCTAGAAACACCCGAATAATGGAGATGTAAACTGTAAGGATTAGTATTACTTGTAAAAAAATGAACAGTGGTTTCGCATAATGACTGAATGTGTACTGTCTTACCACATAAAAAACATTTGGCATTGCGAAATGCATGTGAATTATGTGAACGAAATTTGCCATGGGAGAAACATTTACCAAACGTTTTCTCACCTTTGTGGCTCGCTTTGCGATTTCTCGTGTAATCACTTTTCATATTTTCGCGAGAATGAAAACCACTATTAGGCGAATGCACGTTCGATCGACCCTGAGATTGTATCTCATCATCACAACTGGGCAAAGTATTAGAAAATTTCATCGACTGGATATCAAGTTCATTCACTGCTTCCTAATCAACAGACGCAGTTTTAGAATTTTGAAAGGAACAGTTCAGCATTCTTAACACCTCTCTTTCCACATCTGATATATAAATCTGAAGATGTGACTTGTATTTGAAGTTTGAAAGTACTTCAACCAATAACACCTTCTATAATTGAATCGTACCAATCAAGCGATATTAAACGACAGAAGATATATTTGATACGTTATCCATATAACGAGAAGTGACTTATCTAAACTGCATAAAGGTTGCAGGAGTTGAGTACGACGTTCCCACACGTGACCTGGTGAGGATGTATATATGAGCTCCTTCAACTGGGTGAGTTCATCAAAACTAACAGTGGTAATGCCTAACTTTAGGCCATCGATGGTCTTGAGCACCCATTGTCTTATACGGATAACAGCCTTACACCCGAAACGGGTTGGAATCTACCTTGACTTGGCGGGGCTTGCCTATCGTGATGATCCAACCGAGCTATATTAGCGGGAACATATGTTCCTATAGGTTCTATCATGCCAGGTAGGTCGATTGGAGAACGGTAAGACTAAAAGCAGCAACTCAAGGTCTGAGGGCGGAGTTGTACTACTGACTGTAGACGGGTGTGACAATACTAAGGTGTTCCCCTAGGACAACCAGCATAGCAGCGATGCTGCCTTCTCACAAGGAAGAAAGTGGTTAGAGAAGGTAGACCTTAAAAATGTCCCACCTCACGTTTTTTCGTCTCCGGCGGTAAGGCCCTTTGAAGAACGGAGCTAACACGTCAAAAACCTCCCACAAATGGGCCGTGCGCAACCAGCCTCAAACAGTTGTCCCTTGAGCTCTGCGGTCACGCTCCCAAGTCATTAAGACCAACAATAATCCAACTTCCATTTCAGATTCCTCAAGAAATGCCCTTCCACGGTGTGGCAGCCGGGAAGTGATATCAGCCCTCATACCAGTAACAACACACGAGACCAAGTTGGTCGTATTCAAGTCCTTCCTACATCTCCTAATGACTCTCTTATCTACAAGACTAACCCTTCCCACGTCCCTTTATCACCTCACACCGCTAGAGCAAACGATCCGAGTACGCGGAACGTTATTTCTGAAACCACGCTCTAAAATACATGTGGGGGGGGTTTTACCGTCCGAACATTGTGCCAAATAGGACAACAGGCTTCCTTAGCTAGGACTTTAGAATCTCGCACCATCGATTTATGTCGCGTCTCCGAAACACACATATAGGACCCGAGTAGCGTCATTCACTTGACCTCATCATATCGAAATAAAGAACTATCTCGATACACGCTTCGTGTATCTGGAAGCCCTGATGCTGTTTCCCGTGGCCTCGTTTGAGTAGGTATAGCATTGAGTCCTCGGGCAGAACTAGCTCTTTTAGACTGGATCCCAGTAGACTCGTCTGTGCGGTGTCCGACTAAACGGAACAATAAGGACTCGGAAAGATAGGGACACTCGTCGTTGCCTCTTCGTGGTCTTTGCCTACTCTCCCACTGACCGCAGATGATGTAAAAGATTAGTTTTACAGAAAGCTTTCCGACATTTTCCAAAAAGCTAGGCGCTCCGATGTTGTGATAGTGACTGCTGACTATAATGCTCAAGTAGGTAAACTAAGCGAAAGACATTTGTGTGGATGCTCGAAAACTCGTCCCATCTGGCTCTAAACATAACGAAGAGTGGAGTCAGCTTAAGCACAGGCTAATAAGAAGCCTACACAATGATCGCGGACAGTGGTGGATAGCAAAAGCAAGAGAGATGGAAAAGGCACCGGCAATCGGTGACAGTAGACAACTGTTCACACATGTCAAGGGAATCGATATTAGGAACCCAACTGTCAGCGAAACTATCTCGGAGAAAGATGTACATATTATTCATTCTCAACTCAGTAGATTGGATCGATGGGCAGAACACTTTAGGGATCAGTTCAACTGGCCTTCAGCTACACTTCCGTTTCCCACGATCCCCAATCGACCAAATGGGGATTCAATGTAAGTCCTCCAACTCTACGAGGTTGAAAAAGCTATGAGAAATCTGGAGAGTGGGAGGGCAGCAGGCCCTGACAAGTTTATTCCGGAGATTTTTAAGGATAGTGGTCCAGTATTAGCAGCGAGATTGACTGAGGTCTTAAGTAGAATCTAATAAGTGGACGTAATTCCATTTGACTGGTCTCAATCACTGACTGTGCTAGCCTATAATAAAGTACAAAAGTCCTCTTGCGACATTCATCAAGGAATCAATTTGACTAATATAGTGTCTAAAATATTAGCTTCAATAATGCTTGGACATCTAACCAATGCTCCTGAAGAACAGACTAGAGAAAACCAGGTTGGTTTTCAACCTGGAAGTGGTTGTGTAAACCAGATATTTACTCTACGTCAGGTCCTAGAACATAGACATACATTCAGATGTCCCACAATAGTAGTATTTCTTGACCTTAAGGCGGCATTTGACTCTGTTGATTGTGAGGTTCTTTGGCGGTGTTTGTCACTGAAAGGAGTAACAAAGAAGTACATTAACCTTATACAGGCTCTCTACTCGAGCACAACTGGTCGAGTTAGAGCTTATGGCGAACTATCATCAGAATCGATTACCTCAATTGGCGTTCGCCAGAGCTGTCCACTCTCTCCATTCTTGTTTAACTTTATCGTAAACGTGCTTTTAGAAATAATACTTTCCTCATCTAAATTTAGAGGGGTTGAACTTTTACCAAGAGATTCACTTGTTGACATAAAATATGCCGATGACATAGTTTTATTTGGTGAAGACGCTGACAAAATGCAGTCTCCTGACCACTATAAACAACAATGCAGGCATGTTCGGGATGCGATTCTCTCCCTCGAAGTGCAAAATGTTACTTCGGAATTGGGTTGCATCGACACCTGAACTAATGATAGGGAGTGAAGTAGTTGAGCGTGTTGACTGCTTCACTTATCTTGCGAGTCTCATCAGCCCTTGTGGTATGGTGTGTGACGAAATCTCAGCACAGATACAGAAGGCTCGACCAGCTTTTGCCAACTCGCAACATTTATGGCGTAGGAGAGATCTCCGTCTACCAACCAAAGGACGGGTTTACTGCTCAGCAGTTCGTCCCATCCTCCTTTATGGCAGTGAAACATGGCTGGTGAGAGTAGAGTATATTCATAGGCTACTAGTATTCGATTATAGGTGTCTTCGAAGCATTGCTAGTATATCCTAGGACCACCGAGTAATTAATGCAGTTGTTAGAAAACGGGCACTAGGTAAGGATGGCAAACCGATTGATGAAGTAATGAAACTTCATCAGTTGAGATGGCTGAGATACGTATTACGTATGCCCGGAGACATACGATGTATTTGTGGGACGTCATCACGGGCAGCAGTAACAGTCTGAAGAAACAACAAAATGTCAGCTCCTTGAGATCTGCATATCGGTCGAGTTGTGACATAACTCTTATACATTTTCTCAGAATCTAAAAGATGAAACCGCTGGTTAGTACTGGAACGAGTGATGGCTAAAGTATTGCATTTCAAAACCAAAGGGAATGTTTGATCTCACTCGAAAATTCAGAAGAGAGTGAATATATATGCGCAAACACTATGACTGTTATTCTTATATTATATATTTAAAGATCATCTAGAAAATAAACAAAGCCCACCCTCCATCCCACACTTGTTTTCTTATAAGAAATAAGTGACGTAAGGGAACAGACAAATTTATTTTGGAAAGAATAGTAACCCGAATGTAGAACAATATTTATAAACTATGTACTATAAATAGTGAAAGCATTTTGGAAGAGCAAACAAGTTGCTGATAAATCAGCGTACAGAAAACAGAGAGCAGAAGGTGACTAATAAAGAAATAATGACGATAATAACACAAAGAAACCTGTAATATTTTATCTATACAGCATAGTAAATTTATGTAGAAATTAATGTTTAATAAGTTGAACATTCTTACGAGTTGTGTTAATTCGGCCAAATGGTCCAGGTTCATGATGATATAACTGTACTTGTTGATTTAAACAATCACTTATTGCTTTTCTACAATGTGGTTTTAAATGAAAAATATATATATATAATTAAATACATAATTGTGAACTGAACACTGAGTAACTTTTGTGACTGAAAAACCACCTAACTATCCCAAAATGTAATACGTACGAAAAACCTTAAACCTGAAGGTCAGCGAATGAAAATCAAACGTATAACTTCCTAATCACAATCATGGTGAATGGAACAAGAGTAGGTTGATGGGCTGAATGGATTTATATCCAATGTAATGTAAGATAAGGAATTTAAAGTGGTTTATGAATGAAACTAAAGGACAAAATCACAGTTGTACACAAATTTTAAGGTAATATAACGGGCCAGAATACAGTGTATACAGAAAAATAAGGATATTATTTCGAACGACGTCAATACAAAATGGCATTGGAACTAAATTCACAGAAAATTTTCTGTGAATCTCAACTGCCTTATTAATCCAATTTCTTCTCCTTTGATTCAAACTCCCTCTTTCTCTCTATTAGCTTGAATGTGACTATTGGTTTTTTGCTTAGACAGAAATTTTGGATCTGTCATTTTTCAAATGAACTGCTTTAAAAACAATCGTTGTTGAGGTTATCATTGTGAATGTGAGTTTAACTAAAGTTAAACAATATTTATTGTTGAACCATTTGTCATTCATATTTTTTCACATACAAATATTTCCGAGAAGCCAAAATAGCCTTTTGAATTTAACCGATGTCGAGTCCATTGTCCAGGTGAATTCAACATATATATTCTACTTTTTTGTTGGTAATTTCCGTCTTATATGGCAAATCAATTACTTTAACATAATAAGATTAGCTAAAACTGTCATTGACATCAAGCTTCTCTACCTAGATACGTGGTAACTACAATTACGACCGATACTTCTTTCAGAAGTATTAAATAGAATTATTATCCCATGGGATCAAACATTGCTGTATAGTCATTAGTTTAATTAGAAGAATATATATTTTATAAAAGTTACCTGAAATCATTTGTCCAAATAGAATTTTTCACATAAGCACCAACATGACCAGATTGTGGCAAAAAACGAATTTCACCATTAGGATATACTTTTTTCAGTGAACAAACACTACCTCTCGGAACATATGCATCATATTCGGCTGCAACCGATAGAACAAGTCGAGAATCTATTACTGGAGAAAAATTTCCTAAATGAGTAAAATAATCCAGAAGATCACGAAGAAATTGTCGAACTTCCAGATCTGGTGATAGATTTGTACGCGAAAAACTAACACTTGGCGAAGACACACGTGGAAATGACGGGATTTGTTTATGCCATCGAGAACTATTTGACTGGAAACGAAAAACTCTATTGAAATTAAACGAAGACAAAAAATTTGGAAAACCAGTGTACCTGAAATGTGAAAGTAGTAATTGAACATTTTAGATAATTAAAATTTCACGATGTGGATAAATAATAAAAACGCATGTAAAACATTAGGGATTTCTTTCCATTATGGAGATAAATTAGAAGACGAGCAATTGGTTGTTTAATAAACTTCAGAACCTCGTACACAAAAACAAATAAACTCAAAGTTTCACAAATTTTAATAAAGGAAAGAGAAGTGATAGACTAATTATCATACTAAAGTAGCTTTCAGAGAAAACAGAGGACGAAAAGCCATAGAAAAGCTTGCGAATTCACTGAATACCAATGTTGATTAATAGCTTGTAAGTCAACATTATTAACAACGTCAAGAATATATCTCACAAAAGCTACCGTTGATATTGGCAGTGTTATTGCTTTGGTTTTTTTCCTGTAACTTAATTTTTGGTGTGCTAAGGTGAAATGTGGGAGCATGAACCAATACTTACTTCTACTAAGGTCTATGTCGTTTATAAGTGATAAAGTGACTTACCATTGATAAGTAATCATAATGTCAAGTGATTTTATTGAGTAAGAAAATAATGATTCTAGGCCAACAAGTAACCAAAATATTGAATAAACAAATGAAAATCACCAGAGAATTTTCTTTAAAAAAAGTACATGCATGTTGGCATAAATAAGCTGAAAATATTATTCACCGGAGGAAACCTATATTTTTAAAACCACAATTCAACAGGGATGTGGCTGGCGATGTCCAACATGATAGATTAACAAGAGTAGTTAATAAGACATTCTATACAGACAATTTTGCATTGTAATCTCCCAGTAGACCAGTGATATCTACTCATTCTTAAGACTATGATTACTACTATCCCTGCCTTCTTACTACCAATTTGTACTTTGTAACTATTATGAGTAGTTATACAATCTATCACACTGTGATCATTGACTCATTAATTGTTTTGATCGGTTAATATTTTTATATACTCACATAAATATCTTTGTTAATTAAAATAAAGCCTGATGACGATCTAATCTAAAACAATACCGTTTGTTTATATTGTGGTATGTGATACTGATGTCAACAGATATAAGTACTACGTAGCACCAATCGAAAGTGAAATGCAGAAGGTTAAGGAGATTGAAGAGGATAGAACGAGAACAGAGAGTGCTTGGTGTGGAAACGAAGGGACAATCAAGTCTGAAACAATTGATTGAAAGTTTGTAAATGAAGTATTTACTGTACAGTTTTCAGATTTTACCAAGATATTCTGCAAAGCTGTATTGAAATACATTTGATTGTCCCCACCTGTATGTTTTCGTTCACTACAAAATGAGTTGTTCAAATCTAAATAAACTAAAATTTCACATCAACTTACATAGTGCTGGGAAGAAACTTTTGAGCAACAGTAAATATGTGTGTATTCGGATGGGATGACGATAACTGGGAGGCTGAATTAGATGTATTAATAAACTGAGACAATAGATCACGAACTTGAAAACTCGAGAGTGATGATTTTAAAGAATGTCTTTTAATAGGATGTAAACGTGAATCTGATTGTTTTGTGAATGTAGCCAAAGGAGCAACATTTACAGTATCTGAGTGTTTTGAATGTAAAGAGTTTATTGAAATGGGTATTCTTGGTGAATTTTGTAGATAATCATCTGTAAAAGCATGGAAAGTAGTAGTTAGAAAACGCGACGGAAGTTTTAAACACATAACTTTATATAACACTGATAAATACTAAAACTTTTATGTTTATTCCGGAGATTACTTATGAGTTTAACCATAGATCAAAGTAACGTACACATCTTCAAATCTTAAAAGCGTCAATTCAATAGGTGTCAAGTGAAACAAACTCTTAAAAAGTAAAAGTACATGAATAAACTATAAATGAAGAATGAAAACATTTGTAATTATGATGAAGTGTCAGTGTTTTCAACCTTAAATATGTGTAAAACTCACTATCTGATAAGATGGTTGTTAATGTTACCACTGAATTATTACACTGAACACTCGAACTACTCAAAACTGGAAGTGAATTATTGTTCTAAATGAGATTCAAATGATTCTAACGAAGAAAGGACCAAGTTACGTGGGCCAACTAACAGACGTTAACAAAAATGAAGTTCTCGTATTTATCATTGATTAAATACTATTGCTTAAGTAGTATATAATATGATCACTCAACCAATTAATTGATACAATGGGATACGAATATGTTATTAATTAAGTAAATACTTTTTTGTGACAAATTCATTATGAATATCGGTCAGGGTGACAGGTGCGAACTTCATCCAGTGATATTTTGGAGTCAATATTTCTTGAATCGATTCCGTATGAACTTCAATATGACAAATGAGAAGTCCCGTTCAGTGTAACAATTATTTATTTGTTTGAGCACATAAATATTAGCACAAAGGGACACCGAATAAATATGCGTCAAACAAGTCACTTCGTTTGTGTGTGGGCTGTGATACTGCCCGTGTGTACAAACCGAAGCACATAGTTTTCTTAGAGGGCCACACCCAGAGCCTCCGACTAAAAGGTTTGATCCACAAGGTAGTGGAGAAACATTAGGAGGTGCAGTCCCATGGTAGCCGGTGACCAAAAATAGGTCCATACGCCATTTGTCCCTTCAACATCCTGGAGCTCGTGTGCACAATTGGTTTGGAATCAGGGTTTTCCAACTCCCCTAGGTAGATCCTCCATATCAGCCAACCCGGTTAAAACGCCAGACATTCACTTTTCGTCCTCTCAATTTCGTAAACAACACCCCAGCCGCGAGAAGCCGGTGAGTAGGACTTCCCTGACAGTGGCCATATACGCGTGGCCATGTGAGAGAATTTGAGAGGAAGAGCGGACTTTCCCCAACCTCGGCCGCACCAGGGCATGTTCCATGTATAAATCCAGGTGAACTATATTTACTGTTTTTTACAGTAACATTGTATTCCCACCACCCAAGTGATATTATTAAATGTGTGTGAAAATTAATAGGTAAATGATTGTATTTTGGTCTAATGATGATATAATTTTGGACGTGATTTTCAGGACGTGTTTGGGAATATGTTTCTAGAGTGTCAATAAATCTTTGTTACATCATTCTTTCATGTCCTAATATTGCATTGTGCGGTATGTAATGGTTTCAGTTTCCATGTACATGCAGTAGGGTCAGACGATTACAGTGGTTTCCGATTATCAAGCGTAAGCAGTAGTGACTACGGGCTCACGAGAGTCGACAAGTGAATAGCAGCAACGACACCCTCAAACGTAGAAGAGGCGGCTGTCAGATAAAACAGTAGCGACTGATTAGTATACAACATGAATACAACCAAACTTAGCTGAAGATTTGAAGAGTATTGTATAACATTAAGAAAATCCGTCAACAAAATGCATATGCTATCGTAAAGGAAGTCATGGTGTATTTGAAATTTGCACCAACATTATCTAGGTGCAACAGATAACATTTAATTAAACACCTGACTAGTTAACTCATTAACTACAAAAGTGAATAATTAACTGTTAGAATTTCAAAACTGAAACTTTGTTCAGAGCATTAGACATAATTTAGTGGTAGGCGTTAATGACTATGAAGTATATCACTACAGATTCTTACCGAAAATTGCTGCAAGACATTTGGATAAAGCTAGTCGATATAGTTCATACAATGATACATCTTTTCATGTGTACTTTAATTCTACTCACAATTGATTGATCACTGGGTGATGATCAATGTCATGCGTGTCAAGTCCTTCTTAGTGCTGATCGAATGCTATCGATCAAGTTGCAATGTGGCCACCAGTCTAGGTGGTTCGACACTGCTTGCACTATGTTGAGATAAGATGGTGGTTGGAGGGGGTCAACAGGAAACCCTGGACCCGGGATTCGTGTTACTTGGCACTCGTCAGCAAGGTGCACCTGTAATCTTGAGGGAACTGGTGCTCCCTGACGGATTCCATCCCGTGTCACTCAGCTTCATAGTCAGAGACGTTACCACCTAGCTATTCGGGCTGCGACCGACCTCCTGTAGGACTGAGATGTAATCTTAATTGATTGATCACTGGGTGGTGATCAATGTCATGCGTGTCAAGTCCTTCTTAGGGCTGATCGGATGCTATCGATCAAGTTCTAATTCTTTTCATTTACCATTGTTATTAAGAATGATAATGTGCATTATTAGACAAGACTTTTACCTTGGAACCGTATAAATAATTCAACATATTTAAAAACAATATTCACACTGCAATATACACTATTTGAAATTATTACATGTGTAAAAATCCTAAATAAAGGCCATGATTTTAAAAGTAAATATGATGTTCTAATTTGATGATTTTAAGCATATTTTAATTCATTATAATTTAATCGTCACATATCAAGTTGGTCAATACCTTAAAATAAGTAGATTTCAAATAGCTTAACTGATATAATTTTACGATTTAAGTGTAGTAAACAGAAATTCCGAAATTCATAATGAAACAGTATTTAGGTATGATATACAATTAGATGATCATGTTACACACAGAAAACGAAACAATTTCTTTTTACCCAAAGTATCATTAGAAGTTTCATCAGTTACTTTACAGAATTCTGGGACAGCTGGTTGAATCTGAGGTCGGATTACATCAGAATATGCAGAATCAGAATAATATTGTTTTGTTAATACAGACCAATTTACTGTATTCGATAGAATACCCTATTAAAATAGAAGAAAAGATATTGGAACATATCGATAAATATACAATGGGTGTTATTTCCATGTAGGAAGAAGTAAAGTCAAAAAAAGACATCGTTGTTCAATTCCCTGTCAGTCCCAATCAATAATGAAATAAATATTTTAGTATTGAATGGCTACAAACAATTGTTTACCAATATATATATATATATATATATATATATATATATATATATATATATAATGCCAAACTTTTAGTTTATGTTCAATGTTTTATTTTCGCTTGCCGACTTATTTGCACTATCTTCTTAACATAATGACAGAAAACCGTTGACTGACTATTCAGTGGTAACCAATGTTATGTACGTCAAGTCCTTCTTAGTGCTCATCGAGTTTCACTGATCAAGTTTCAATGTCCCAACTAACCTAAGTGACTCAATATTGCGTGTAACATGAGATGCAAATAACACCAAAATTATGTCCAGGGTTTCCTGTCAACTTCATTCAATCACCACTATACAGTAACAAATTACATTGAAACATTGTGCTTTTTGTTACATTTAAAGATAATAGAAATAAAGTGAATGAAAGTTAAAAAACCATACTTAATTTACCAGTTTTTTCTTGATATAAAAAGTATTTCATGTAATGAATAGTGTACAATCGCACGTAATAGTAAGTTTAAAAACCTTATTATCATAAAAATAATTTGGAGTGGAAAATAGTAATGTAATAGTACAGAAGTATATTGCACGTGAGACTGTTATAATACTAAAGATGACAAACAATTCGAAATACTATACAATAAACGATTAGGTGAATTGATCAAACGATAAAACATAAAAGATTAGCTGACTCTGCAACAACGTACGTATTTCGGAAGCTTTCTGAAATCTTCTTTCAAAACAGCGCCTATCATTATACTTTCTTGATGTGATCAATGGCCTTATATTGGAACTGGGTTTTACAAGGTATTCTGATTCGTCTTAACTAACATCTGCGGACAAGATGAATACATAGTAATAAATTATAATAGATGGTTTCTCCGGCGAATAAGGAGCACAGACACTTTATTAATTTGAAAAGTTGTATCAATTTTAGTACGTTGGTTTTTAGTGAAATATAGTAAATAAGTAAGAGAATTATCTTTGAGATTTATCAACTTACATTAGTTGTACAAAATATGTACAACGATAACTAACACGATAATAGGAAAACTTTTTCTTAAACAGCTGTTTTGGTGTAGTAAAGGTTGTTAGGAAGTTACATATACGAGGACAATAAGTATATTTTACATATCCGATCTCGCATGTTTTAAACCATAAGATAAAAATTTGTTGGGGGTAAATGTGATGTAATAGTTAAGAGAGAGGCTTTTTTAATTTATGATGCAGAAGTGTGCTAACTAGATGGTTCATACATCTGTTAAGCATAAGGAAACGATACTTAGCCCACAAGTATTATTGTATTAGGTGAGTGAAACAAACAGTAGGAATTATAATTTTAGATGCGTGAGTCCAAACCTTTCAATATCAAATTCTAAGTTAAGGGAAATAAGTGAGTGAAAACGACATGTCGAAATCCTTTTTTTAAAAAATTAAAGTTATTGATGCAGACCTTATGACTTGGTAGCTTGCTTGAGCAAAGGATTAAAAATTAAACTAAACTAGTCCCGAAAACAAATATCAAGCATTGTAGCTTGTAAGTGGCTATGTAATGAATCGAACTGATGTTTCATTGTACATTTGTACACACCGTTTTAATTAATAATAGCTAGTAGTGTTTATTTTAGCGCGAGTCTATAAAGAATAAACACAAAGAAAAGCTACGTTTGAATAGAATCAAGGATTCCCCAAAGTATGTTGAAAGCGAATAGTAGTCAATGCTAACCGATAACATAGAATCATATCATTTTCAAATTAAAAATGTCTCCAAAGAAAGTCAACAGTTTTAAAACGAGTAAAAGGCGGCTGTATCATATGAGAAAAATGGTTTTTAAGTCCACTGTAAGTTTCAGAAACTAAATTTCAATCGTTATGTTGTGAGTATTAAAGGAGCTCAAAGTTTATGACTAGCTACGTAGTCCTCTTCTTTTTCGCTTTTTTACACTGTAATGATTAACTTTAATGCGAATAGACAACTTCAGCAAATTCCTAGGTTATTATTAAAACAGCCGTGCTTTTTAGGTTTTAATAAATTACACCATACAGTTGTAGAAGTTAAACCAAGCTGTTTTAAGTGTGAATATGTGATCGTGATTTCGACACTTGGACCATTAATTTCTAAAATAAAACAAATTTATTGAGGATATTATGACAGAAAATTTTATAAAACGAACCTCCAAAAACACGCATGATGCTGAAGTCCAAGACAAACAAGGAATTAGTGAAATAGGTTTCGGCCAAACGGTTGCACACAGGGCTGACATCTGGTAAATTAAAACATATAGATATACAGGTTTTAAATTTAAGCACCAAACTAAGGTGTACAAAGAAAGTACAACTAGAAATATACTATTAAACTGTATGTCTCATAGATATAATCCTCATTTTAACAATATGTAGATTAGGAAGCATAAAATCGACTGGTCGTCATAACAAAATGATAGTTTAGATTAACAATCCTTTTTAAAGTACACCATATAAATAATTTGTAAATATTGTTCACCAAGAGCTAAATTTAACTGATGAATATTTCACCTTGAGAACAACAGAAAAATTCAACAAACTTCTACTTTAGTATTTGACGATGAAAACTTTAAGTGGCCGTAAATAGATATGTTAACTATAGCAATAGGAATTGAGGTGATTTTCACTTTCTAAATTCTGTCACTTTTGAGATTTATTGCATGAAATTTTAAAGAAATTTGAAGTTCTTCAGGGCTGCTAAAATTTAGTTTTAGATGGGAAGAGTCAGTTTTTATACTTCTGTAAACACAAGTCAGAGCTTAGCCCTGACGGCCGAGAGTGGGGAGGGCCTGTCCTTTCTCTCGAAATGCTCTCACACGGCCACGCGTACACAGCCTCTGCCAGAGAAGTCCTACTCACTGCTTTCTCGCACCAGGGTGTTGTTTACGAAATTGAGAGGACGAAAAGCGAATGTCCGGCGCTTTAACTGGGTTGGTGGACACGGAGGCTCCACCTAGAGGAATCGGTAAACCCCAATTCCAAATCAATAGTGCACATGGGCTTCAGCATCCTGAGTGAACAAATGGCGTATGAACCAATCATCGGTCACCAGTTACCATGGGACTGCATCTCTTTACGATGCTTCACTGCCTTGTGGATTAGGCCTTTAGGTCAAAAGCTCCGGGTGTGGCCTCCTAAGAAAACTACCTGCTTCGGTCTGGGCACCCGGACAGTATCATAACGCTCACACAATTAAATTAAATGATATTTTTGTGTGTGTCGCATATATATCTGGTGCCCCCTTGTACCAATATTTATGTGTTCAAATAAATAAATGAAGTCGGTATTTGACATACATTTCCTTAACCATATTAATTTTAATCAGCTTTAGTTTTAATTTTAGGTATGTTGAGTTTTGAAAAAAATTAATAAAACCAATACTGTTAATTACTACCAATTTTATGTATTAATAAATAGATAAGATTTATTTCTCTTTGAACTTCTAAGTCACCAAGTATCACCTTTAAAAAGTACATTCGTACATTATTTTATTTATTTATTTTATTTGAACACATAAATATTGGTACGAAGAGGCACCAGATACATATGCGCCACACAAATCTCATTTGGTTTGTGTGAGGGCTGTGATACTGCCCAGGTGCCCAGAATGAAGCAGGTGGTTTTCTTAAGGGGCCACACCCCGAGCCTTTGACCTGAAGGTTTAGTCCACAAGGCAGTGGAGCATCGTCAGGAGATGCAATCCCATGGTAGCCGGTGACCAACGATTGGTTCGTACGCCATTTGTTTCCTCAAGATACTGGAGCTCATGTGCACCATTAGTTTGGAATCAGGGTTTTCCAATTCCCCTAGGTGGATCCTACATATCCACCAACCCGGTTAAAGCGCCAGGCATTCGCTTTTCGTCTTCTCAACTTCGTAAACAACACCCTGGTGCGAGAAAGCAGTGAGTAGGACTTCCTTGGCAGAGGCTATATATTTGCGTGGCCATATGAGAGCATTTCGAGAGGGAGAGCGGACTCTCCCCACTCTTGGCCGTACCAGGGCATTTGGCGGTACATCAGTACATTAGGGATGATAAAATGTTTGGGAGTTTTCTAGACACTACTTACTGATCTCCTGAATACTTTTATATTAGTGATTGAGACTTCCGTAAAACAAATCATCATTTATAAACTATCTACTTCAGGCGGTTTGGTATCAGAAGCATTTAAGTTTCAACCAATCACGTGTAAGTTCGAGATCTCTGTTATCCACTTCGGCTTATGTAGTCATGTAATCAGTTTTGAAGTAGGACTTAAAACCAACGTGCATTAGCCTTTGTTGTCAAATCTTACACTACAACAGGAAAAGGTAAACACTCTAAAAAAGCCACAAAATTAATACCGGTCCAAAGGGAAACAAACTACACATAAAGAATATACTTAGTATTGTTTGTTTGGATCTTCCCATCGATGTGTTAGGACTGCAACTGGTCAGTCTCTAATTGACATATGTGCATACTGTGCGTATTGCCTCGATATACCTTAATTCACAAGCATGGTAAGCAGAGATGGATAGTGGCTAGCAGTGGAATCCAGTTTGACGCGCGTTTCGTCCTATTTGGGACTCGTCAGCTGGATGTCCCTGCATCTCAGAGTTGATGTTCACTCTGGGACTCGAACCCAGTACCCTCGCTTCAAACGCCATCGCGTTATCCACTCGGCCACTGAGTCCTGATAGCCTTGTGAATTAAGGTATATCGAGGCAATACGCACAGTATGCACATATGCCAATTAGAGACTGACCAGTTGCAGTCCTAAACACATCGATGGGAAGATCCAAACAAACAATACTAAGTGAATTCAAACTTCACCCCATCGCACAAGCAAGTGGCTATCAGGACTCAGTGGCCGAGTGGATAACGCGATGGCGTTTGAAGCGAGGGTACTGGGTTCGAGTCCCAGAGTGAACATCAACTCTGAGATGCAGGGACATCCAGCTGACGAGTCCCAAATAGGACGAAACGCGCGTCAAACTGGATTCCACTGCTAGCCACTATCCATCTCAGCTTACCATAAAGAATATAGTTTGAAGAGAATCGAAACTGAGTAATATAATATATGCAATAATTTTAAAATTCAAAATTCACAGGGTGACATTCGAAAAATAGTTGGGTTAGTATGGATAGGCCAAGAAAGAAAGCGACAATTGCTTAAGGTCTGTGATAGACGACCCTTTAGAAATAACAGTTTAGTAGCACTTGCTCTAAAGATTTTTAGTTTTGCTGATGTAGATAGGGTAAGAAGTGAGTACTATTTTTGAAAGTACATTGTGATACTCCAATCAGTCATTGTAAAAAGCAGTTTTTGACTAGAAATAGAGAGAACTCCAGAAGAGGCAACAGTTAACTAGTAGCTCAAATTAATAAAACATGATTGCTTATATACGAGCTAAAAAGTCATTCATCCATTTATTGTAAAAATATTTCAAAAATCCCAATTGAATAATAGTATTCACATTCAAATCTTTGAATAATACAACCATCAAAAACTTGTTAATTAGATCCAAAACATCAATTTTTAATAATAATAATAATAATAATAATAATAATAATAATAATAATAATAATAATAATAATAGTCCTGAGAAGTATTTTCAATTCATTACTATATTCAAATCGTACTCAATAAATCCTCTTTGATTAAAGGATTCATCAAGCAGAAGCAAAAACTATAAAGATACAAAAGTGGGATTAACTACATATTGTAATGTATGGGGTACAACGTGAAGTTTGGACTTTTATATATGTTAGAGCAAAAATTGAAACTATGCCCAACAGTTGGTAGAACAACTTACATAACCACCCATTGAAATTCCGTGAAGTGCAAACGGTCCGTAGCCATTATGTTCACACCATTTCAGCAATGCGCTGCATTCCATAATCAAAGCTCCACCCATGATGAAAAGGTCAGAAACAGAATTCAGACCAGAACCTCTAGGAGCATAAAAGTGGCAGAAAACAACTTGTCAATGAAATCCATCCTAAAACATGGCAAAAGGAACATGTTTATTTGTAAAACATACAATTTCTGGCCCACCATGACATGAAAATGAACAACACGTGAAATGACATTGTGAAGAAATGAGAGTAGGGTCATGAAATAAAAAGTTAAACTGTAAAAGTTGGTGCTTAATAAGATGGCTCCCAATCGGATCCATATCTGATATCTCACTTGGTTGTTCGACCTGTAGGACTCTAACCGAAGGGTCATTAGCCATGATCAAAATACAGTCTAGCTCAAATGAGCACTACCCCAAGTTGTGGCGCCCAATCAGGAAAGCAAGATGAAATTAAGAGGTCAAAATAGTAGCCGTATCAATGATAATTTAGGAAACTAGACATCGGCGTTTGGAAAAGTATGTGTGGAGGACTATACAAATTCACAGTCTGAGGTAAGTTAAAGTACAACCACGAAAGTACAGAATTGAAAGAATAACCACTGCCGCGTGGGCCAGTCCATGGCGTACGATTGATTTGAGTGAATACATCTGCTACTACGACTGGTTCGAAAACATCACACAATATATTTAACTGCTAATCGTGGTTATCGTGAAGACGTCAGTCATATAATCTGCACCTACTACTACGGATGTCCAATAACCAGTGGTCTCACGAACTAGTGCAATACCCTGCTTTCGACGCTCCTGGCTTCCTTCGAACCTTATCCTATCCAACTAGGATGGCGTGTCAAGGTAGATCGTGGCGGAGGACACATAACAAAATGTATCAACCACGTAAGTCGACGAAGATTCACAGCCCCTTTAACCGTTTTTATAGATTTTTCTAGTGTTCTGTCTAACGACAGAATTAGTTATTCGGTGGTCCCACTGTAAGCAAGAAATTTTTAAAATATATTTATGACTAAGTAATCTGTCTGTCTATCTACTTACATATGACACGTTTTAAAGTGGCAAAATAAAATAGAGCGGAATCATATGTAATATACTCATGTTCCGATAGAAACACTGACAACCTCCCTATGCCACAAGTTATGTAGGCCGGAAGAAAACTAAGCGAAATTCCCGAGACCGCGTGAAAGTTCCATCAGATACCAACCAACTAGGGCTAGTGAAGCTCTTGAGATAAAAGTGGTTGACGCACTAACTACTTCAGCCAGCAATTCGTGATGTACTGACAAATTCCAGATCCATACACCAATCATTCATACCACGACACCATGTCATAAACTACCATCTCCGCCTTTTTCACGAAGTCCTTGCGTCGGAAAATAATGCATAGTGTGAAAGTCCCTAAGATGATATTAATAAGTCATATCCAGGCTATCGAAGCCGTTGTACTAATAAATGATCACTAACTGAACTATCATCATTGAGTCTAAATACATAGTTGAACGTTGGCGTTACTAACAGGTTTTAGCGGTCGGGTGAATGATATTTTGGAGACAAATATGACAGAAGAAAGTCTAGGTAATTGAATTTCTCTATGATAGGAGACAACAGGTACGGGTAAATGGGGTCTTATCAATGTAGGATCTGTAAACTGTGGAGTTACTCGAGATACAATCCCTGGACCTTTTCAGATTTACTTTACGTAAATAACCTACCAACTATTGCAAAGTCAGCTGTCCTACTCTTTGCAGATGAAATAAAGAATCGGAGACCCATACACAGTATGTCAGATGGAATAACATTACAGGATGACCGTAATTCACTGAGTGAATGGATCTACGGGTGGTCACTAGAAGTTAACTCTAACAACAGTGTGGTGATGCAGATAAATAACTGCGACAATTTGTGTCACTACACACAAAGTGAGACTGTGTTACCAAACGCAATAGACTATAAAGATCCAGACGCCATAATGAGCAACGATCTTAAAACTATGAGTAACTGTAAGACTTCCGCTACAAAAGGCTTAAGTGTCTTATGGTCTACTCGTACCTCAATTCCGTTACTCCGGTGGAGAAACGTTAAGGGCGTTATATTCGACTTTTGTGAGGACGCAGACAGAATATGAGATTCAAACAGCAAGTCCTTATTTTGAGTAGGTAGGAGATAAGGTAGGAGTTTAACCGCGAGGCCCCGTAATAATTAAACACTCACCTGGTCTATCTTATGGAGACTAAGACAGACAGACAGACGCTCCAATCTGCTTCCGTCATCTTACCGCACGTTAAGAAGTGATTTAATAATGGCTTCCCGCATACCGAACGATGATTTTGGTATTAATGTCTTATTTTTTCCTTCTGTCTAGGACTGATCATCTGAAAGGACACTGTGAGAGATCCCGACCGTTGCTGCTACCTTGACGTGGTGGTCGGGCTTGCCTATCGTGATGATCCAATCGAGCTATGCTGGCTGGAACAATCGTTCCTCAAGGTCCTACCATGCCAGACAGGTCGATTGAAGAGCGGTGAGACTAAAAGCAGCAATCCCAAGGTCCGAAGGCGAAGTCGTACTGCTGACTGTACAGAGGTGTGACGGCAGTAAGGTGTTTCCTTCAGACAACCAGCATGACAGCGATGCTGCCTTCCCACAAGGGGGGGTGGGGTTAGAAAAGGTCGACCCTAAAAATGCACACCTCGCCTTATCCCACAGATTTCCGTCTCCGGCGGTAAGGACTTTTGAAGAACGGAGCTAACACGTCAAAAATCCCCCACAAAAAGGCCGTGCGTGACCGGCCTCAAGCAGATGTCCCTTGGGCACTGCGGTCACGCACCCAGGTCGTTAAGACCAACACTAATCCAACTTCTTTTTCAGGTCCCTCAAGAAATACCCTTCCACGGTGTGGGCAGCCGGGAAGTGATACTAGCCCTCATACCCTTAACTGCACACAAGACCAAGTTGGTCGCTTTCAAATCCTCCCTACACCTCCTAATAACTCTGTTATCTCCACGACTAACCCTTCCCACGTCCTTTTATCACCTCGCACCGCTAGGGCAAACGATTCGAGTACACAGAACGTTATTTCTGGTCTCCTGAAACCACGCTCTAAACTACATATAGGAACTTTTAATGTCCGAACATTGTGCCAAATAGGACAACAGGCTTCCTTAGCTAGGACTCTAGAATCTTACACCATCGATGTGTGCTGCGTCTCCGAAACGCGCATACAAGATCCGAGTAGTGTCATTCATTTGACCGCACCTAATCAAAATAAAGTTTCATCTCGATACACGCTTCGTGTATCTGGAAGCCCTGACGCTGCTTCCCGTGGCCTCGCTGGAGTAGGTATAGCATTAAGTCCTAGGGCAGAACTAGCTCTTTTGGACTGGATCCCAGTAGACAGTCGTCTATGCGCTGTCCGACTAAACGGATCAGTAAGGACCCGGAAAGATAGGAAAACTCGTCGTTGCCTCTTCGTCGTCTCTGCCTACTCTCCCACTGACTGCAGCTCAGACGATATAAAAGATGAGTTTTACAGAAAACTTTCTGACCTTCTCCGAGAAGCTAGGCGTTCTGATGTAGTAGTAGTAGCAGGTGACTTTAATGCTCAAGTAGGTAAACTAAGTGAAAGGGAAAGACACCTGGGTGGATCTTATGGTGTCATGGCGAAAAGAACAGATAATGGCGACCGTCTGTTGCAGCTGTGCTCAGATAACCGCCTATTTCTTGCAAATACTAACTTTAAGCATAAGGAAAAACATCTTTTGACATGGCGACCCCCGAATTCGTCCCAACGTTGGACCCAATTAGATCATATCGCTATCAGCCACCGATGGAGGGGCTCGATTGAAGACTGTCGCTCATTCTGGGGCACATGTTTAGATTCAGATCATGCTCTAGTGCGAGCACGTATCTGTCTGCGTCTAACTGGTCGTAGGAAAGACACTGCAGGGAAGCCTCTAAGGGTTCTAATTAATGATAGGCAAGCTAAGAATATATATCAGGAACAACTAGAAAAACAGTTAGGCAGCCATGTAAGTTGTGTCCACCCCGAGGCAGCGTGGAATGACATCCGAAAAGCTGTGGAAACAGCAGTGATGTCCGCTAGTAAGGTAAACCATAACGTTAGGGAGAAACAATGGATCTCGGCAGCATCTTCCGCACTGATAGATGCTCGTAAACTCATCCCACCTGGCTCTGAGCATAACGAAGAGCGGAGTCAACTTAAGCGCAGGCTTATAAGAAGCCTACGTAATGATCGTGAACAGTGGTGGGTAGGGAAAGCAAGAGAGATGGAAAAGGCAGCGGCAATAGGTAATAGTAGGCAGCTATTCAGACTCGTTAAAGAAACCGGCATTAGGAACCCGAATATCAGTGGAACCATCTCAGATAGAGATGGGCATATTATTCATTCTCAATCCAGGAGATTGGATCGATGGGCAGAACACTTTAGGGATCAGTTCAACTGGCCTTCAGCCACGCTTAAATTACCCACGATCCCCAGTCGTCCTGAATGGCAAATTGACGTAAGTCCTCCAACCCTCTGTGAGGTTGAAAAAGCTATAGGAAATCTGAAGCGAGGGAGAGCAGCAGGCCCTGACAGGTTGACCCCTGAGATTTTTAAGGATGGTGGTCCAGTACTAGCAGTGAGATTGACTGAGGTCTTAGGTAGAATCTGGGAACTGGACGTAATTCCATCTGACTGGTCCCAATCACTGATTGTGCCAGTCTATAAGAAAGGACAAAAGTCCTCCTGTGACAATCACAGAGGGATCAGTTTGACTAATATAGTGTCTAAAATATTAGCTTCAATAATACTAGGTCGCCTAACCAAAGCTCGTGAAGAGCAGACTAGAGAAAACCAGTCTGGTTTTCGACCTGGACGTGGTTGCATAGACCAGATATTCACCCTACGTCAGGTTCTAGAACATAGACACAAATTCAGACGTCCCACAATAGTAGTATTTCTTGACCTTAAGGCGGCATTTGACTCTGTTGATCGTGAGGTTCTATGGCAATGTTTGTCACTGAAAGGAGTACCAAAGAAGTACATTAACCTCATAAAGGCTCTCTACTCGAACACAACTGGTCGAGTTAGAGCCTATGGCGAACTGTCATCAGAACTGATTACCACAAGTGGCGTTCGTCAGGGCTGTCCACTCTCCCCATTCTTGTTTAACTTTGTCATTGACATACTTTTAGAGACAGCACTTTCATCAGCTAAGCCTCCAGGAGTTGAACTCTTACCGGGAGGCTCACTTGTTGACTTGGAATACGCCGACGACATAGTTTTACTCGGTGAAGACGCTGACAACATGCAGAGTCTTCTGACCACCATAAGCAACTATGCAGGCATGTTCGGGATGCGATTCTCTCCCTCGAAGTGCAAAATGTTACTTCAGGATTGGGTTGCAGCGACACCTGAACTAATGATAGGGAGTGAAGTAGTTGAGCGTGTAGACCACTTCACTTATCTTGGGAGTCTCATCAGCCCTTGTGGTCTGGTATGTGACGAAATCTCAGCACGGATACAGAAGGCTCGTCTAGCTTTCGCCAACTTGCATCATTTGTGGCGTAGGCGAGATATCCGTCTAGCAACCAAAGGACGGGTTTACTGTGCAGCAGTTCGTTCCGTCCTACTCTATGGCAGTGAAACATGGCCAATAAGAGTAGAGGATATTCGTAGGCTACTAGTGTTCGATCATAGGTGTCTTCGAAGCATTGCTCGTATATCCTGGGACCACCGAGTAAGTAATGCAGTTGTTAGGAAACGAGTACTAGGTAGGGATGGCAAATCGATTGATGAAGTAGTGAAACTTCATCAGTTGAGATGGCTGGGACATGTGTTACGTATGCCCGACCACCGACTGCCCCGACGTGCAATGTTTCATGGTGTAGGAGTAGGTTGGAAGAAAGCTAGGGGTGGCCAGACCAAAACGTGGCACAAATCAATGAAGTCACTGACAAGTGGACTGGGCCATGTTGGTAAGTGTAGACTACCTGGTTGGGATTCGCGAGATGATAGCAACCGATGGTTAGAGACCTTGAATGACATGGCTCAAAATCGTTTGCAATGGCGAAGATGCATCCACTCTTTGTGTTCTACCAAATTCTAATCTTCTGAATTTCTCATGTCTTTATGTTTTTCTCTTTCCAAATTTATTTCACTGTACTATACTCCTTCAATAATTTCTTCAAACCCTAATCTTTTGGATTTCTGATTATACTCCTACTACTTCTTCCACTATGGGATTTGAATCGACAACTGCATCTGTGTGCTAATGTGGTATGGCAACTCGAACTGATGTACGTACGTACGAAGTTCTACGTTGTGACTGACTGACTGACTGTGAGAGATTCAAAGACTGATATTAAATCGTTTACTTCTGGAGTTTCGTTTCTCTCACCGGTTAGTGAATTACTGGGATCCTCTACCAGGAAACGTAATATCAGGATCTACTGAAACCTTTGACGCGACATTAGATCTTCATAATACTACACATTGCAAGTATTACTAAAGATGGATTGAGTCCTCATCCCTACTATTGAAGACTGTTAGTGAGCTATACAACATAAAACCTAAAACCAACATGAGAGCACAACAGAGTAGATAGTCAAATCAAAATAGTATGAATGGAAGGGAGACCACACTTTTGATATTTCGATAGCATTTAGCTTGGCTTAATTACATAACAAACTTTGATTTGACAATAAATAAGTTTAAAAATTAATTAGAAGATATCAACAGACTAACTGCTGCTCATCGGGTTTGCGCTTAGAGTAGAACGGATGCATCAAGATGATGGACGCTATTCCGTCCTTTATTAAACTACTGGCGAGAAAAACTCTCCTCCTATAATAGTTCTAGGAACATAACGCTACTATACAATGGGAATTACTTGATCACCGGTGCCAGAAAAGTGTATACAAACTGCGCGATAGCTTGTAGACCACTTCCTAGGGATGATCATTTGAAACCTGAAAACCTGCAATGAGAATTTGACTTTTACCTTGCGATTCTGTTATCACCTTTTAGTGCATTAGATATGACTGAATCAAATGGAGATATGAATGATCCTTCGATCTGTATAGTGCTTTTGTCCTCGGTTTTCTAGGAATTATCAAGAAGTCGCAATCGTACTTTATCAATATGAATGTCTGTTCTGATGTTCACTGAACAAAATTTATCTCGATTAGTCACAATTTTCATATTTTCTATCAACCTATTTCATGATTATATATGTATACGAATATCCACTTTATCAACGTATCGGGAGGACCCCATCCTTCGCTAAAAAATTTTAATGGCATTACACTACGATATATTTTGTCAAATGTGCTCATTTCTTCCTCCAGTAACCTTAACTACATAATAAGATCGTACGTTCAGCTACTAGTGACCTTGAAAACAACCTTCATTCAATATTCAAAAAGCTAATATTGCTTGATCGAATTAACAGACAATTTATTAATTAGTATTTGCTTTTAAGTGGTAAGGGTGTCTTTTTGATCGTCTAAAGGCACGTTTTTGGCCACGCTTAATTTGAAAGTTAAAGGTGAAACATATTAGTTACTTTTATTGGAAGTGATAGTCGGCTAACACTTGAAGAAGACACACTCAATACTTACACAAAACAAGTAGGGATCGAATCTTTTCTCAGAAGGCCCTGGAAGAGGCCTCTCACCATCGACAATGACAGTAGGTTTCATTGGTGATTCTAACCATGAAACGCTTGCTCTAATTTCTGTGCTGACTCGTCTCTTTCCATCCTACAGTGATGTTCTCCTGGGTACATTTTAGTGATTGCAGGAATTACAGATCTATTGTGTTGGTGATCATCATGGGTGAGATTACATAACGTTGACTTATTTTCCCAAAATCTTTCGTACTGAAAAGTTAATGATTAGTGTGTTGGTAGGTAGGGTTTAAATTTAATCCGATTACGTCTTTGGTTGTCCTTATTTAAACACCTTTTGAAAATGCAGTATATTTCCATAGGTAAAACGTTATACTGTGAGTGATTTCAGAAGGACTAGGTTATGAATAAACATTGAAAACAGTTTTAAATGGTTTCCAAGCAAATATATCCAATGCTCTGGCTGTATGTGCCAAGACATTATACTTTGTTGGTTGATGACAGCCAAATCTAATAGAGCACCGAACGCTTACAATGAACGATACTTAGGATCATTTTTTCAGAAACTGTGATGCTTATATCTCCCAGAAAGTTAGAGTCCGTATGGTAATAATTAGTCCTTGAGTTTGCGTGCCGACTAAGATTTCTAGTCCAATTTAGGACACATAGACCTCTGTGAGAACCATTGGGTCCTAATAACGTGTTTATGGTGATATCGGTTCATAATCACAGTCTTTGAAGCTGAACATATAATTAATGAGAAGAATCATTCTCAACACGTAACACTGAGAGAAGGTCAACAGTGGTGAACGAGGGAACATTCGTTCATTCTGACGGTTGTCATGTATCAGTCTTGCAGGAACGGTCATTCTTGTGTAACCTCATATCATTCCACAGTTAATACATCATTCTATCATTTGTCAAAATATATCCTGCCTGAGCGCCAAACACTGCTGAGTGTCAAGATATGATAATTAAGAATAGACGATGATGAGACGTCCACATAAAATCCTATAGATTAGATAGTCACATCATGACAAATTTGTAATTTTCGCGTTACGTTTATCATTATAATAGCACTAATAACGAAGTACACAATAATTCTGTGGTTGGTTGACGTGAATGCATACAGACGGCAGATTTATCAATATTTTCGGATTGTCGAAGATCGGTTTCTTGATAGCAGGCTGTGAACATTCCACTAACAGATCGACATTCTAGTGCTTGAACAGTCTGACAATTCTACACTGAAAGACTCCATCCACTCTCCTCTCCAGGCCTTTGAATTTCGCAGCAGTGACAGATTTGATCTTCGTTTTCAAGATCTTGACACTTTTTACTTGATCATCAGAATCGGAGAGCTCTGTAGTTGTGCATAAATCTTCTCATTTTGACTCCGTAGTCTGCGACTTACTAGGCATCTCATTGACGCCATCCCTAATAGTCAACAAGAAAGTCTGTCCTTGTAGCATTTTTATATTTTACAGCTCAAGGATAAATGTTTCATAATCAGTGACGAAGATGTCACAATCTGTAATCAAGGACTTACTACCCATTATCACTAGGTTATAACACCCAGGAATACGAATTTTTTGGTCAACAATATTCCAAATAAAATCTTCGGTGAGTTTTATAATGGCATTCGAATTTAACGACTTCAACCTTTCAACTAAAGTGAAAGATTTGATATTACCAATGTTAACAATAATATTTTGAAAAGCATTGGATGAATATAACCATTTTCAAATATGAAGTCAACGACTCAAAGTTGTCAATAAGGATAGTATGTGGCTATTAAAAACAATAAAATTAATAGTACCCGAATTACAGAGTTTTTGGTTAATATTGGGGAACTGAACAGTTGTTCCACACTAAAACCTGAAATGTCCGATTTTGCCTCACTTAAAGCACACAGCATGAGGTAATACATATGAATTGAGTTAGTGAAGTTTACCCCACATAATACATCTAGCGATCTTATCATCATGTACTCTTCGAACGCTTTAGTATTCGAATATATATCTTATTATCAAATTACAAGCTTCACAGGGACACCACTGTGAATATTATAAGTATTCAAACCGAAGTATTCACTAAGAGTACATAGAATATTCGGATTTTTAGCTGATATAAATCGATGACAAATTCTTAACGTTTGACATAGGGGAAGAGTTACCAGCTTTCAAACTTGGTACGCTTTCTTTTCCACGACCTTGTACATTCATATGACAGCAGTCATTCAGTGTCCGAAGTGCTCGAAGTCAGCTTCATGTGCTGTGCAAAAAGGGATTCCGCGTGATCCCACAACAAGACGAGCACATGATAAATTCATGTCCGATAATATAGAAGCATCCTTGTAAAAGTTTGATGATGATTTATAGTTCGCGGACGAGTCAAGTGACTTAAGATAGTAAGAAAAATGCAGACCCAGTGCTAATAATTCATTTTTAGATTGAGTGATTAAATTCGTCACAGAACAAAGCAGCGATGAAGTCACTGTGTTTCATTAGAAGACGGTGAAAGAGTAAATGTTAACATGCATGTGCGTGCACATATATTTTCAGGCTGTACTACTTGACTGAAGTAGTTTGCTAAGACAAAGAGGAGAACTGACAGAATTTTCTTCCCGAGACAGACTTGTAACTAGAATATGGTGTGGTAGCAAAAAATAGATCTCTTTAGATAAACAATATGCATCACGGATTCTACTCGCAACGCCAAGGGCAAGAAGTTCAGACGCTTTTTGATAACTTTTACTGTTTAGGCATTCGTTGTTTTAGATGGTGGTAATTGACAACTTGGAAAGCGGTCTGCCAGTTTCATTTACATGGACACTTATGGAAAGAGGAATCTGCGCTATTTGGATATTAGGTCGCCGGAGGATTTAGTGATACTCGTTGTTGGGAGGAAATTCATTAGTTATTATCAGCGAAACTTAAGTGAGAAAACCTTTTCATTAATTCATGAACAACAGATTACTACTTTCTCATCTTCTGTACACTTACGCGATCACACGCACAGTACTGAAAATCGTCCTAAGTAATGTCCTCAGCTAACCATTAATGCTATTTAATATCACGTCATATCGTATTTAGATTTATAAGCTCACTTGTTCCTATTATTCTTATTTACCTGTTATGATATGTAACTAAACTATTTCGTGTAAACACGATTTATTTGAAAGGTCATCGCGATTGCTGCAATACGGTATTGCCTCCCCTATGTAGGCACATAAGTTTCATATAAAGTAGATTGTGAAGTGGGATATGTTAGTTGACGAGTACCGTGGCAATTGAAGTACGTGTATCCAAGCAGTTCGCCGATGTCATAATGTTCATGAAAGCGAGCAACTGATAGCAGCGGATACAATTATATTTTGTTATGAGGCTGAAGAAACGTACATACAATAAATATTAAATTTAGTCCTCCATTCGTGCACTGCTCTCCAACATATCTTCTTGTTTACAGCTATTATCAACCATAATTATTGACCAACAATGATTACTAGCAAGAACTTGTAGATGGCGTCGAGTCGCAATTGATTATAATCGCCAATACAATGCGATTACGCTCCAGATAACGACTTGGATCCCTTGATAGGCCAAAAACCAGAAGGCTGTTATTGGTCCAGATGCGGTATATTTATTGGCGATCTCGTGGTATCCAAAGAATACCGAGACGTGCCAAAGAGTACAGGCAAAATGGACGGACACAACACGTCACACATGCGTGTAAAAGATAAAAATTGCTTTTCTACCATGTCGAACATGTTATATTTGTAATTCGTAGTAAGCTCAGAACCAAGCACCAAGGAATTACCAGTTATCAAAAATACCACAGATTGGGTAGATTATCACTACTGTTCACTACTAGAATTCTGAATTTGCTGAGATTAAGAGGAAGTAGGTCTCTGCCAATCTGATCGTTTATACTGTGTAGGTTTCTCCGAAAAATCATGAATTAATTTCAGACAACCATGTTTTTTCAGATATTACGATCTTCTGAGTATACGGAGTTTTGTAATCTAGTGTACTATGAAAACCACTGATAAAATAAAAGAACAGAACTCGCTTAATACTTAAGCTTCGAGGATAGTTAAAAGGATTCGAAATAATGTGGTAACTGAAAATTCCTGAAAGAGTACAACTTGAGGCAGATGGTAATAAACCAGCGGAAAAGAACTTATTTTGATTTAGTGATCATGATAAGTCAAGTTTAAAGGAACCATTGGTTCACACAAATACTACAGCTTTGTGCTCATCCAAATAGCATTGACATTATAACCTCACGGTTTGTGATCCTACATTCAAATAATCTAAACTCCATTTTATTAGTGCCTCCTGGATTAATTTTGATGCGGTAGTAAAAGTAGATTTAGATTGGCCACTGAACGTAAAAGTCAAGTCCCTATGATAACTCGCAAACCAGAAGGCTTTAATTAGTCCATATAGAGTATATTTATTGGCGATCTCGTAGTATCCAAAGAATACCGAGACGTGCCAAAGAGTACAGGAAAAATGGTAGAGCGTAAGAAAGTTCGAACCAAACAAGGCGAATAGCGGAACGAGAAGTGACTTCGATACAGTTAAACAAGTACAGTAAAACAATCTCTGGTACAATTGGTTCTAATAATAATTGTTTCTATAAAACCAATCGCGTTCTTGTTGAAAACTCAGGTCGCTACAGTAGCTTGAAAAAAGGATGATCTGAGGGTTAATTGTACACAACTTACGAAAAAGTATCTAGTGATGGACCTTATGAGGTTAAACGTTCACACATTCTAGAACTCTGAATCAGGCCTCTGTATAGACGATGACACAACAGTTATTCACCTATTGGACCGTCTAATCAGAAACACAATAACTCTATAACCAATTGGTATTAATTATAAGAAGATGAACG